CTAATGGAGAACCCTTTAGTTTTCAGCACCACAGGGCCTACATTGAGCAGTTCTGAATCCGTCCTTAGGGGGCACATACGCGGACAGAACTGAGCACCCATGGATGGCCCTTAGACTATTGCAAATACCATTGATAGTAAACTCTAATTGTTGCACAGTGTCCTTCAAACTAAACATAAAGAACAACACAAGACATCCAAAAAGTGTAGCATTTTGCTGTATGAAGAGGAAACAAGTTTCCGGTAGCAAAGGATTCCATCCAGAGGAGACCTACATCTATTGCATGTCAAAAGATTTGACCTGGAAACCCTTTTTGGTCTTTTCTTCCAGTCTATTCTGTCTTGTTGTGCTCAGGGAAAGTCTCAAATAGTTGTTAATAATTTACACATCACAGTGGCATATGAAATGGCAGCAATTCAGCTGTTGGAATGGCATTAAAACAGTCCCAGTGCCTGCGTTGAAAAATGCCGGCAACTCCAGAAACTGCACACACAAGTGCAGGCCATCAGGACATGCTGCGGCTGTAAACATTTGAAATGAGACCTCGATTGGCAATAGTGGTCCGATCAATAGACTTTCCAAACTCTGTCTGACTGGCTGATCCTGGGAAATAGCATCTAGTCGGGATAATAGCCATACAAATCCCGTTTGAAGGAATGTTTACACTGGGGCAGTAAGGATTTGCATAGTTCTCGGTGGAATTTTTTCCCTGATAGGGAAGAGACTGACTAAGGACTCCCAGGATTCTCATTCCAGTTCTGGTACAGGCTCGCTGTGTAGCTGTGGGCAAGTCACATCACTGCCTCGTGCCTCAATTTACCCTCCTATAAAATAGCAGTGACAGCATGTTTCCTAGACTAGGTTGTCATGAGGATTCCCTAATATAAAGTGACTAGGGAAGTTTATTTACCCCTTCACATAACACAATAATCAGGGATCACGCAATGAAATTAATAGGCAGCAGATTTAAAACAAACATATAGAAGCACTTCTTCACACAGTGTACAGTCAGTCTGTGGAACTCATTGCCAGGGGATGTTGTGAAGGCCAATAGTATAAGTGGGTTCAAAAAAGAATTAGATAAGTTCACAGAGGATAGGGCCATCAATGACTACTAGCCAAGCTGGTCAGGGTGCAACCCCATGCTCTGGGTAAACCTCTGACTGCCAGAACCTGGGACTGGATGACACAAGATGGATCACTCAAAATTGCCTGGTTCTGTTCATTCCCTCTGAAGCATGTGGTGGCACTGGCCACTGCTGGAAGATAGGATATTGGACTTGATAGGCCATTGGTCTGACCCAGTATGGCTGTATTTATGTTCCTCTATTTTTAAGCTGCTATTTAACAGCAAACCATTATTATTATTATTTTATTAAGTGAGAGAGCAAAATATTCTAAAGGCCCTACTCTGAAATGCAACATGCCAGTGTGTAAAAGAATTTGACACAAAATAGCTCAGTGTGTGCTCATTCTGCTTGATGATCTGTCTACCCACTGTATGTTTAAAATGTGAGACCTGCATATTGCACCACACAGAGGGCAATGAGAAGATGAAAGAGAAAGAAATGGAGGGGCGGAGAGAGGGGCCAGAAGAGAGGATACAATGCAGGAAAAAGGGAAAGATGGAACAGACAGAGACATGCATACATCAAAATGTTGGCTGCAGCAGACAAAGAAAAAGTGGCATGAAGGAAAGAGAAGAGAAGGGAGTCTTCCCATTGACTTCAAAGGGCGTTGGAGCCAGTCTCTAGGAATTGATGTTGTTTAATGGAAATTCAAAAGACAATGTTACAGTTAAATATGTGCAAAAGAGGGGAGATTCCTTACTTCCAGTGGCATGTATCATTCTTTCTTGCTGCTGAACCATCCTTTCCAAGGATGACTTTTAGCCCTGAATCATAGGGTCCAACTCCCATTGGAAAAATTCCGATTGACTTTAATGAAAGTTGGATCAGCTCCCATAAAAAGCAAGAATTTTTGTACCAGCTTGTACCAAATGGCCAGAATTTGGGGGGAAATAAAATCATGGGGGAAGATAACTCAGGCTCACCTACAAAGGCTTTATTCCCTCTCCCACTCCTCAGAAACCATCACCCTGCAAATTACACAATAAATTACAAGGTGCTCAGGAAACACTATAGCTCCTGCCAGATCAGCTCTGGAAATACTGAATTAGCTATTTGGGCCCAGATCCACAAAGATATTTAGGCTGCAGACTTCCATTGAAATCAGAAGCCCACACCCAAGCCACATGTACCTTTCTGGATAGAATCAGAGCCAACAGGAAACTTTCTATGATGAGTATACACTGTAGCTCATGTAGCAATCCAGCAGTGAACAAAGCATCAAGTGTAATTGTCTCCACCAGTGCAGACATATACCGAACCTATTCCAACCAGAACATGCTTTTCTAAAATACTGCATGTGGGCAAGCAGAAAAGGGTTATGTGCCAGAGATACATGGGAGTGACCAGAAGTCACTTTCTGAAGGCCATGGGGGGGTGGTGGGGGGGGGGGACATAACAATCTTCAAATATGTAAAAGGCTGTTAGAGAGAATGGTGATCAATTGTTCTCCATGTACACTGAGGGTAGGACAAGAAGCAATCAGCTTAGCATGCAGCTAAGGAGATTTAGGTGAGATATTAGAAAAAATGTTCTAACTCAAAGGGTAGTTAAGCTCTAGAACAGGTTACCTAGCAAAGTTGTGGAATCCTTACCACTTGAGGTTTTTAAGAACAGGTTAGACAAATGCCTGTCAGGGATAGTCTAGGTATACTTAATCCTACATCTGCATGGGGGCTTGGACTAGATGACCTCTCAAGGACCCTTCCAACCCTACATTTCTATGATTCAGGGGCCTATGGGAAATATGGGTTTTGTGGATCTCAGTCCAGCTCCAAGTAGAGTGACCATCAGGCATCACAAGAAACCACCACCCACATTGGGCACTGATGGACACCTGTATTAGCAAAGGCTGGATAGTTGATTGGGACCATGCCACTTTCTCAGCTCTATAGGTTCCTTCAATTGTAGGGCCGAGGCACAACAGCAGGAATATGGGGGAGCCTTGCATTGCCGTGGCTGGTACTCTGCCCGCTCTGCAAATTGGCTCTTCGGGCTGTCAAACACCTTTCACCAGCCACAAATTCATTTACAGTGAACATCCATCCATCTATTTGCATGTATTTGAGAGTGGATAACTTTTCTGGATATTTTGAGCTTCTCTCCACATGTCATTCAAAATGCTGATTACATTGAATAACACCAGGAGGAATGAGGAGCATATGGTTTTTAAACATCACAATGATACTGAAGATCAGGGGAGTCTTGTTTAGTTGCAATGCATGGGCAACAGCACCCTCTATTGCCAGATGAATTATCCCCTTCTGTTTTAGGCTGATCTCATTGAATTTCCTCCCAAAATGACAAACAGAATATGAAGTATTCATCACCTTCTGGTGATTTCTTTTAACTCTGTGAAGATTTGTATTTCATTTATGTGCCTGGTAATAACCCAGATATTAAAATTTAAGTTTTATGCTGTTGTAATTCTCAAAATGAAAATTAAACAGGTGCTACAGCAGTAGACATAATTCACAAGCGCTTGATTGGTAAAGGGTGTTGGTTGGGTTCTGGGGATGGTCTTTTTATTTTCTTTAAAGCAGATCAGTGAGAAATCGAACCTTGGGCTTTGCTGTAGGTTATCCAACATTATACCATAGCTATGTTCGTGTAAGCATAAGCGTGTAACGAGCTGGGTAGTGTGTTTCTACACTGCTGCATTCTACCGGATGGAATCAAAACTGCTCCACCCTGGGCTGGTCTACACTAGAAAGTTACGTCGACCTAAATTCACACCTCTGAGAGACACAGGCTGACGGAAGAATTATTCTGTTAGAATCATAGAATATCAGGGTTGAAAGGGACCTCAGGAGGTCATCTAGTCCAACCCCCTGCTCAAAGCAGGACCAATCCACAATTAAATCATCCCAGCCAGGGCTTTGTCAAGCCTGACCTTAAAAACTTCTAAGGAAGGAGATTCTACCACCTCCCTAGGTAACGCATTCCAGTGTTTTACCACCCTCCTAGTGAAAAAGTTTTTCCTAATATCCAACCTAAACCTCCCCCACTGCAACTTGAGACCATTACTCCTTGTCCTGTTGACCTAGCTACTGCTTCTTGCAGAGGTGGATTTATTACAGCGATTTACTTTTGTCGCTGTAGTAGGTGTCTACACTAGAGTGGCACAGCAGTAGTGTTTCTAGCGTGGACACGGCCTAGGTCTCCTGGGCTCTGCACTGCCAGCAGCTCACGGCAGTGGGCTGTTCTTTCACCAAGAAGTTCCAAGCGTTCAGTACAGGGTCAACCATGAAACGCAGCGTTGCAGCGGGCCTCCGAAAGCTCTGCGGGATGCATCTGCTTCCAGGAAACAAACAAAGAGATGGCCACGGCTGACGGGCAGTACGTCCAGTAACCAGGGGGCAGGTATTGCTGCAGCTGGACAACGTCTTGTCGCCCACGGTCAGGGCATGGATGACCTCAGGTGAGGTCACAGAGTAAATGCTACAGGGCCCAGGCCCTATGTGACCCTGAGGAGGGGGAGAGAGCCAAGGCTCCTGCACCCCCTTGCCAGCCAGCTCTACCCACGAGGGTCAGCCCTTCCACACAAAGCAAGGGCACACTCTGCTCCCCCTGCACCAGGTCCTCTGGCCCTTTAAGAGCAGGAGTACAGTCCCCCTCCCACTCTCATGGAACGTTTCCTCAGGCGCGGCAACGCCATTGGTTGGCACCGTCACTCCAGGCAACGGGGGGTCGGGGACGCTCACCGCCGCCCGGCTCGAGTTTCCCTACAGCGTAGAACGTTGCCCATAGCTCTCCCATTGGCTGCCACCGTCGCCCGGGCAACGACGGGCGCGGCCGGGACGCTAACCCGTCACGGTCTCGGGTTTCCCGGCCGAAGGTTCACCCGCTCCCTGATTGGCTGGCCGCCGTCGCCGGGGCAACGGGAGGACGCTGAGCGCGGCGCCGCTCGAAGGCCCCGCAGCGAGCCGCGGCCTTTCCTGGTCGCGGTGCCCGGGGCCGGGCCGCTGTGCGGCGGGAAGCGAGCATGGCTCAGAGCGGGGTGCTGCTGACCAGGGAGCCGGCGCCGCAGGCGGTGCCGGTGTCCGAGCTGCCCGTGAAGGCGTACGAGGCGGCGCTGAACACGGGGCCGGACTCCTCGTGCGGCCTGGCCACGGCCGGCTTCCGCGCCGCCAAGTACCTGACCGAGGAGTGGCACCAGCACAACTACGCCCAGTACCACCAGGCCTTCGCCGACCGCGACGGCTCCGAGCGCTGCCGCCACGAGTCCCAGAGCCTGGCCGCCTACGCCGCCGCCCTGGCCCAGCGCAGCCAGGAGGACTCCACCGCCAAGCTGGGCCAGCGCCTCCAGGACACGCACTTCTGGAAGGCCGAGCTCCAGAGAGAGACCGAGGACCTGAGCGCCGAGACCGACCTGCTGGCGGCCCAGAAAGTGCGGCTGGAGCGGGCGCTGGACGCCACCGAGGTGCCCTGCACCATCGCCACCGACAACCTGCAGTGCCGCGAGAGGAGGCAGCCGGGGGACCTGGTTCGGGACCAGGTGGAGACGGAGCTGCTGAAGGTGAGTGGGGCGGGGGCCTGCCCTGAGGCCCTTCCGCAGCCCCCCTCATCTCTAAAATGCCCAGGGGCTGCGATGATGGGCAGCGCCGCAGTACCCTACGGTAGACAGACTGTGGAGATCACCCCCCATGGAGACCTGTCCCAGCAGAGCACAGACCTGGCTCTGCTTCCTGGCCTTGTGGCCTGTTGTGTTCCCAACGGTTTGGTTCTCACTGCTTGGGCAGGACCAGGGGAGACTAAAGGTCCTTGCCTGCTACCTCTCCCCCTTGGTCCTGGTCTTGATATTGAATCCGGCCCCTGTTGCTGCCAGCTCCACCTGGCAGGAGGGTTACACAAGCAAGATCAGAATGGAGGCCTCTGAGATCGACATGGAGCATCACATACTGGCATGAGACATCCATGGGCTGCACCTCCATATAAAATATAAGGTGCCAGTTAAGTGCCACCCTAGGTTCTTGGCTAGTTGCCAGTTGTAGCCCTTGGGTGGGCAATGTCCAGCCACTCTTCTCATAACTGTCTTCCTGTACATGGTATTGTTTTTGTCCTGCTGAGGGAAAGAAAGAGAGAGGTGGTGGTTTCAACACAAAGCAGGATCTTTATCATGCTGCAAGATTGATACAGTATTGAGATTACAAGGTAGATGGGTGACAACTGTGTGGGGTGACAGCGTAGGCAGGCAGAGGGTATATACAGGTGATACTTTTCTGGCAAACTTAGTTTAGCAAACATGAATTAAACTAACAAATTTATTTGAGCATAAGCTTTCATCTGATGAAGTGAGCTGTAGCTCACAAAAGTTTATGCTCAAATAAATTTGTTAGTCTCTAAGGTGCCACAAGTCCTCCTTTTTTTTTTTTTTTTGCGGATACAGACGAATACGGCAGCTACTCTGAAACATGAAATAAACTGTTTTGGAACATGTTCCCCAAAGAGAGCCTCCAGCAGAAACTTTAGCATCTGCTTTGGAGATGCTGGGATTTTCAATGCGATATTGTGTGCAGAATGCGTTGGGTCAAATTCTACTCTCATAGCTGTACAATTCCATGAATGTAATTATGGTTGAACGGGTGTAACTGAGGACAGATTCTGGACCCATTTTGCATTCTGGAATGCTCCTTATTCTTGCATCTAAGGAATCAGTTAATACCTAGTTTTTTGCAATCTCCAATATATTTTGAAGGTTCCAAAATTGATTCAGGACGAGTTATTGACCAGATTAAACGGCAATATTAGTACTTAACAAAAAACAGAGCCGGACTTCATAGTGGATGGGAAGCAATTAGGATATTATAGGAGTTCTTTAATTGGGATCATGCAGATGTTGTAACCAGTGTTCATGGGAATATTCTAGTTGATAGTAAAAATATGAGATTACTGTTAAATAGCATAAAGGATAACATAGTGGCCTGTCCTTCTGTTGCATAAACATTAACATGATTATACCCAGATTATCAAGCAGAAATTCTCTTAACAGGCTCTTGACGCTTTATGGAGAACTTTGTCAAACGTACATTTACAAAAATATTCATCTGGCATAGTTTATTTCCTGTATTACTCACCTGTTACTCACTGTTATGAAGGATACTTAGTTCATTTCTAAGGAGCCCATCTGCTGCTGCTGCTAGTTCTTCACTTTTTAAATCGTAATTCTGTTTCTGATGACAAAGCATCAACAGCCAACTGGACCTGTCATAAAGAAAGAATGATGTGATTTCAGAAGAGGCATAAGCACCAGAAGCAGATGAACTCTTGAGAAGCTAAGATTCTGTTACCATGCCAATGACCTTTGCAAAGAGGAATGAGGGAAACGAATGAATAATATGAGAACAACAACAACAGTGCAAGAGTTAACTGAAATACATGAATTTTGCAGCAGAGATGTTTGCAAATAGAATGATTTGAAGTGAATTCTTTGTGACTTTGCCAGCTCTTTAAGACCTGGTTATGCTAAATGCCCCACTCTCATTCCAGAAAATCAATCTCTATCTTGTATGTCTTGCTCTTTCCAATCGTAGAATAGTAATACTTGTCACTCAGCCATGAGTTCTGACTGCTCATGGCTCAGATTTCAAAGCTAATGCATGTTTATAATGGTTTGATTTGCTGGTGGGTTTATTTCCATTTGCATATTGATTTGGAGGAGATACGCAGTTTTATTAAAAATTTGTTCCAAATCCTGTTCACCTGTCCAACCACCTTCCATGCTAACCCCTCCCTCAAGCAGTGGAGGATCAGAGCTGCTTATTCTAGGTTTGTCTTTTCCTCCTTCGGAACTGGGAAGGGACGATGGGCCATATGTTCCTCTCCCAGTGAAAACTCAAAGGTAGGGAAACAGCATTCTAAAGACACTACCTGGTCAGCTGTGTGGAGAGTCTGACATACCTTCCCTTGGGCAGAGGTTTTTTGATCGCATGGGGAAATTGAATTCCAGGGTGTCTGTGCAATCAATTCAGTCCCTTTTCACTGATTTCATGCCCCCCTACCCTACTAGGCTTGGCACATTCCAACCTTATTTCCATTGGTACAATACCCCCGATGTGGCAGTGCACTAATATCCATAGAATTGTTCAGTTGGAAGGGACCACAGGAGGCCATGCTGAGGCAGAAAGGTCTATTGAGCCCGCCCTGACAGGTGTTTGTCTAACCTGTTCCAGTGCTTAAATCCTTAGAGTTAAAAAGGTTTTCCTATTATCTAACCTAAATCTCCCTTGCTGCAAACTAAGCTGATTACGTCTTCTCCTACCAGGTGTGCTTGGCAAGGAGCCCCGTTCATTCCCCCTGGGAAATCTGTTATTTGTGGGGATGGATGTATCAAGTAGAGTGGTTACTCCCTGGCCCCCCAAATCCACACAGCTGTAGCTATGTGGGGGAGGTGGAAACAGGCAGAGCAGGTTACTGCTCCCATTTCCTGTCATTTTGGGGCCTTTTCACTGATATGTGGGATCCTTTGCTCTCCTCTGCTCTGCAGTGTTCAGATCCTGTATTATGAGAGTCCCTGAAAGATAGGCACCTTCTCAGCAGCGCTTGGACACATGGAAGTTAGGAGCGTAAATACCTTTGATGATCTGGGCAATGGTGTTTATAGAGACAGCACCAACAGACACGCAAGCTGAGGAAACCCTTTGCATGGAAGGGTAATTTCCTTTTCCTTCCAGCAGAAGTCACTTTAGCAGGTGACCACAGTAAGAAACCAGGGGTAGCTAGAGGGAAGATTTCCTGCTACTTTTTGTCATATAGAGGGTTTCAGCCTCTCTCTCCTAGAGGTAGTAGAGGGAGGAGTCATATTGAGAACACATAGGGTGATATGTAATACTGCCTGTTTCACTACTACCATAATGAGGGATGAATATGTTTCAGTGAAAGATCTTCAGGTGAGTAATATAAATCAGATGTGTAGTACTTAGGTGACTTTTACTTAGAAAGGAGTGAATCAGCTTAGATGACGTATTGAAGTGAGGTATTTTAAGGGCAGTTCCGGTTAGGAAAGGAAGGTTGGACGAAGGAGCAGAATGGTCTTTCATGATGAATAAAGATGTATCCATGTAAGTTACATCACTTTTCTTTCTTCCAACATCAGACTACTGCACGTGAAATATCTGATCTCAGGAAAATATAAACATGCATCTAACTCTGAATGATGTATTTGACTATCATAGCACATCTCATCATATACTCTAAATCTCCTCTGCGTCATTGTAATGCCAGATTAATAACTTTTTGTGCCTGCATCTAATATTATATTATAAGCACTAGCATGGGCTTGTCACATGGTGGTATAAATCATGTGTCAGGTATGTATATTTTGCATGTCAAATGGTATTTCTACACATGCAGTCTCCAGATTGATTAATTTAGGGCCAAATACCACCCTGGTTTAAACAGAAAACTCTGCTTATACCACCCTGGCTTAAGAAACTCACAAACATTTGCTTTTAAAAATTCCCATTATTTTCTCCAAGTGATATTAATGAGATGCACAAAATTATGCATTGTGATGGATTGATCACTAGATTCATTCTACCTAGGAAAGCACCATCTATAGCACCATAAAACTAAAACCTGTAATAAAATAAATTACCTACTAAATTTTAAACTGTAAAATGTTCATTTTGTTTTAAATTGACAATCATTTTATGATGGTCATGAAGATTATTATTCGTAACTATGGAAAAGAAAACTGAAAATTAAATGAGATCCTTTTAGATTCCATGACATTTCATTTTAATAGCTGAGATGACCAGATATACATGAGAACATAAAAGACTGGAATGAGAACATATCGTCCATCAAGTCCGATACTTACAACTCTGAGAAATACAAATCTACATTATTGTCATCCTCTGAACTACAAAAGTGCTGCTAGTGACTAAAATCCTTTAATAGTCCCTTCCTCTCATAATATATGAAGGGTCTTCAAGCTAATTAATACTACAGTTCCATGCACACTCTAAATAAAGGTAATATAGAATCACAGGGATGTCGGGCTGGAAGGGATCTTGAGAGGTCATCAAGTCCAGCCCCCTCTACTCAGGCTGGACCAAGTAAACCTAGAACATCCCTGACATGCGTTTGGAGATTTTTAAGAACCGGTTGGACAATGATGGGATTCCACAACCTTGAAAACCTATTCCACAGCTTAACTACCCTTAGAGTTATAACAACCCTTAACATATTTGACAACTCTTATCAAGTCGTCCCTCAATCTACTTTTCGCCAGATTAAGCATGTCCAGATTTTTTAAATCTGTGCTCATAGATCAGGTTTGCTAAACCATGTTTCATTTTTGTTGCTCTCCTCTGGACTGTCTCCAATTTGTCCACGTCTTTCCTAAATTATGGTGCCTATAGTTGGACACAGTACTCCAGGTGAGGCCTCACCAGTGTCAAGTAGAGTGGGACAATTACCTCCTGGGTCTTACGTATGACACTCCTGTTAATACATCCCCAAAAGATATTAGCCTGTTTCATAACTGCATCACATTGTTGACTCATATTCAATTTG